CATTTTTTTCTACATTGATCTTTTTCTTTTGGAAAAGAAAGTTCCAAGTCCATGGAATGAGAGGCACTCTCATGGGGAAACGCGGGAAGAAAGGGATCTAAGGAAAAGGGGTGATATGAAAAGAAAGGAGGAGGGGGTCAGATAGAGACGGGACAAGGTTGGAGAGATGAAGGAGGTTGTACGTATGAATGTTAGGCGTAGAATTCTTCCTGCTTGTCCGGTTTCTGGTAGGTGACGGTGGCTTGTTTAGGCTCCTCCAATGTGTAGCTGCCTTCATCTTTCTTTTTCATCCGGTAGACGAGTAACATTACGAGGAATGCTGCAAAGAGTGCTCCGACTACACCTCCGACAATCACCGCTGGAGAAAGAACAAGAGACATTGATTACTTACAGCATTTCAAATTAAAATCACTGTGAACACTTCAACAACAATTATGTTCTCTCCCACCATCCATAAATAAATGTGTAAATGTCTCTGGGTCAATGACAAAAAAAAAGAGTGTTCAAGATAAAGAAAATGAATTTAAATCAATTTTTAATATCTTTTCATATGGTTTCGAAAAAAATAATATAATATATTAACAAAACTGCTTCACAGTTTATTTTTCCTAAGAAATAATAACAGATTATAATTTATAATTTATACAAATATTAATAAATCAATACAAGTTTAATTCAGAAATTAAAAACACTATTTATAAACTGCATTTTAAATGTATTTTTGAATAAATCAATAGGACAATAAATATAAAAATAAATTAAATGTCATGACATTGACCCCTTTTTTGAAAATCAATCAGAATTTAGGGGATGCAATGCCTACAATAAGCACAACTACAAATGGACTCTTCTGAAAGAGACAGCTGATAATCAGTTTCAATGATGTTTTTGAACCAAACACTCTGCATGATAAAAACCAAACCAACAAAAAGACAGAGAAATAGAGACAAACAAACACAAAACACATTTAATCAAGGCAGGGAGAGTTTTGAGTCTCTCTAAACTAAAGGCTAACTGCGAAAATTAAAAATGCAAAAAACGAGCTAAAATCCAACTAATTTCACGCTATAGCCTGTGACTCCTACATCTTTACCTATGACCAGGAAGTCTGCAAATACAAAGGCAAACAGTCCCCCAATCAGAACGGCTGAGGAGAGAGAGACAGCATATCAGATGACAGAGAGAAACAAGAGGGGAGATGGAGACAGAGAGGCAGCAAAACAAACGAGGAGAAGGTGAATGTGAACAAGGAAAAAAGACAAGGAGCTGAAGACCGTGTTCTCCACAGAGAGATAAAATAACGCCCACTGGAGGCTCTTGCTTGAGCTCATAAGAGCAAAGCTGTTATTAAAGGGATAGTACAGCAAAAATTTAAAATAAACCCATATAAATAATTTTTGGTTGAACGTTTCTTTAAACAACTGTTTCTCCAAACAAAATACTCCTACTAATAATACTGCTAACAACTAATGACTAGCTTTTGTGAAATCCTATTTCATGCTTGAAACTTGAACAATATATATATACACATTACTGTTCAAACGTTTGGGGTCAGATGGTGGAAAAAGTTGTTTTTCTTTTCTTAAATAAATGACTACTTTATTCAGCAAGGATGCATTAAATTGTGACAGTAAAGTCACAAAGTGACAGTAAAGACATTTATAATGTTACAAAATGCTTCTACTTTAAATAAATGGTGGCCTTTTTAACTTTCTTTTCATCACAGAATCCTAAAAAATCAAGGTTTCAACAACAATACTAAACATCACAACTGTTTTCATTGAGAACTCATTGATAAAACATTGATAATAATAATAATAATAATAATAAAGTTTCTTTTTTGAATACCAAATCAGCATATTGGAATGATTTCTGAAGGATCACGTGACACTGAAGTAATGGCTGCTGAAAATTCAGCTTTGCCGTCACATGAATAAATTACATTTTAAAATAGAAATGGTTATTTTACATTATAATATTATTTCACAATTTCCTGATTTACTGTATACTTATTTTCTTATCAAATAAATGCAGCTTGGTGCACAAAAGAGACTTCTTTCAAAAAAAAAAAAAAAAACTCACCAACCACAAACTTTTGAACAGTAGTTGAAATGTTAAGCTGTACAATAATGCCATAAAGTTTTTCCACTTATAGGGTTTTCAGTTCAGTGCAGTCTATAAATCTTATAAGCAACAGGGAGACAAACAAAACATGTACAAAAATAAAAGATATATACAAGACAAATAGACAGACAGGTTCAAAAACAGAAGCCAAATAAATAAATAAATAATAGAGAGACTGAAGTGGGTTGTGGAAGTGGTTTTTTGGACGTCAGGCATCGCTCACCTATCAAAACTTCCTTCCTCTCAAGGATGTTCTTCTGTGGAAGTTGAGCGGCTGAGCTTCCAGCAGCATCTACTGTGTTACCAGTCAGATCTGGTTCTCCTGCCACGCCAGTCGCCCCTTTGCCTCTCCCGATCTCGTTGCCTTGGCGACCTTCATTCTCGCGGATTTCAAAATCACCACTTGGATTTGGTCCTGCAACTTCATTATTTACAGTTTCATCTGGTGCTTGTGTCTAAATGAGGAATAAAAAAAAAGGAAAGAAAAAAATGATAACCCTTCACAATTGCACAACAGATCATGTGTAGCTGAAACTGCTGACCGGCTTTTCTGTAGAAGTTCTTGGTTTTAATATATTATAAACTTGGTTTGAGAGAGTAGAACTAGCAAAGATGTCTAAACCATCTGATGAAAGTGTGGTTTTGATGCAATATGCACATACCAAATTAATGGAATTAATTGACAAATGACATTTATATTTATATATTTATTTATATTTTTGTCTTAAATGTCCAAAAACCTTTTGGGGCCACTGCAATAAGAGCATACTTACAGAGCAAATCTTTCATGCCAAAAACAATAATGGAATTAGGGATGCACATTACCATATCGATTATTGGCCAATGTGAGATATTTTTTTAGAATGTACCCATACCTGTCGACAATGGATATTTAACTGCGCATTTCCACTATTTTAACATTTAGATTGCCTTTGCCAACATCTAATGCTCGCTTAATCTTTAAAACACGAATAATTTAATAATACTGTACTCATAAATAAATGTAATCTTTCTCAAAATAAATATCCATTTTTAAATCCGTTTGTACATTTTTAAATGTTGTGCTGCCTAAATTCACTTGAAGCATTTAATGATTTTAATTTTTTGAGTTTTATGTTTCATTTAAGATGAGATCATTCTTAAATTAAGATAATTTTAATATCCACCATTTATTAAAAATAATTAATTGCTATGCATTGGCCAGAATTTTCATATTGGTGCATCTCTTGGAATATTATTTATTTGTTAGTTTATATTATTTATGTATGTATTTATTCATTAATTTAAGACATATGGAATAACATAAAATTGTAATATCTTCCTTTTATATAAAATATGATTTTCATTTTTCATATCGATGCATCCCTACATGGAGTACTATTTATTTATTTATTTGTTTGTTTTTATTTTAAGATATATAGATAATATAAAAATGTAATATCTTTCATTTATTAAAAATAATTACTGGCTTATCTATATTGGCCAGAATTTTCATATGGGTGCATCCTTACATGCATTATTATTTTTTGTTGTTTATTTATCTACTGAGGACTATCTAACCTGTGTTGTGCTCATCACTGAACGAGTGCTGCTCTCAGTGGGGGCGGCTCTACTGGGGGTAGTGTGTGGTTTCCGGGGGTGCACGGGGGCAGTGCTCGGAGTGGTCGGGGCAGGACGTGGTCTGGTTGGCTTAGCAGTGGTGGACTCAACGGTGGTGGGGATGACCTCAGTGGTTGTGATGTCATCTGCTGTTGTCTCCGGTGTGCTAGATGGCTCTAACATGATGGTTTCTGTAGTAATGTATAGATCCTCCTCTTCTTCTGTGGTGGCGAGGTCCTCCGGGTCACTAGTGGCCACTGTAGTCTCACTCAGTGTGGTGGATGAGTCCACGAACACTACAGGAACATCAGTCAGCCGGGGGGCAACCGTAGCTTTGGACCTCTCTTGTTCCTCCTCTCCGTCTTGCACTTTATCAGCATCCAACCTTATTACGATCTCAGATTCCTGTTCTCTATCCTGTTCCTTCGACTGTCTCATTTCCTCTTCCTCAAGCTCCTCCCACTTTTTCTCAATCTCCATCTCCAATTTGCTGTCTCCGTCTACATCTTGTCCCAAGCCACTCTCACGTTCTACCTCAGGTGGAGGTGGGCTACTCGGCTCTGCGGCGGGGGAGGCTGAGGGGGCGGGGCCAGTGGCCTGTGTGGTAGAAAGTGGGAGGGTCTCTTCTGTAGTGACAGCCACACCTGCTGCAGTTGGACTAACATCCATATCTGGAACTGGAAACAGCAATAAAAACAAGGAGATCAATACTCACAGCCATTTTAGAGCGTGTTAATGTGTCATATGATACCTAGCAAAAGCATCTGCAAGGCTTCAAAGCAACCTTTAGATTGGTCAGCCCAGGAATGTGAACATCCCCATGGCAACACATGAATAAAATATCAATAACCTTGGTAAGAAAAAACACATGCGCACACACTACAAACAAAAGAACAAAGCAAGCGCCACTGCAACACACAAACTCTGCTCATAAAGCGCACACACATAGTCAATGCTTCTTTAACTACAGCCATTCTTATGTCCCAAGGGTTGATTTTTATTAAAGCTAACTGATTTCAACAGATAACACATAGTTTTTTTCTTTTTATTAAATGAAGGCCACATTAATATTGTCTTAGAAACTTTACCTTTATTTTTTGCTGTTTTATGTTTCAAATGCTTTATGAATAGATTTTGTTTATCCTTGACCTTGATGTTTAATCTTAAATGATGAAAGGCCATCATAACAATAAATATATTTTAAAAACTATGATAATCTAAACAGGGTAAAATAATCAGAAACTACTTCAATGTTTAGTTAAGATGTTTAATTTATATAATCTGGTTTTTACACAAATTAATATTACAAGTTGTGATGTCATTTTTACCACGAGTTGTTAGTTTAAAGGGAAAAAATGTAAATGTTACCCTTTTTACATCTGATTTTTTTATCTCTATTTTTGATATTCATATTTTTCAATCAATTGCAAAAACTACGTAAAATATTATTTAAAAGTCTAAATTTAAGATATATAAAAAGTTTTATCTATGAAAATGAGCTGTTTATTCCATTTTAGTCCATTTAAAATGTCATGTTCACCTCAGAATTGTATTAAACACAATACATCACTTGAGACGTGAAATTAATTTCAACAAAATCACAGAAGTCTCTTGTGAGATATTTATGTCCCCTGTTAAATAATGTTAGCGGCCAAATTAAACAATGTGTGAAAAGCGTGTTTGAAGAGAATCTATTTTCTAAATGACCACAGGGCCAAAAGTGCTCTAAAGAAACACCCAAGCACTAGCGAATATTGGCAGTCCACACCCAGATTCCTGCTGATTAAGTGATCTTATTTACAGTAATCTGATTACTGAGGATCAGATGATCACTGACAAAGACACACACACATGCAAATATATGAAGAAGTGCTCTTTATTTACAAGAAAAGAAGGGTGTATTCTACTGTGTCTGTGGGCTTCAGTTAGCAGAGGCTAAAATAAATGTATGAAGTTGTGGGAGGAATGTGAGACAGAGGGGCTGAGAGAGAGAGAGAGAGAGAGAGAGAGCAAAGAGAGAAGCAATAGATGAAGAGGGGGATAAGGCGTTGAGTTGTGAGAATTATACCAGCTGGTGAGGGGATTGGAAGCCCTGGCTGGACTTTTAAACAAGGCAGCTGTGACCTCTTAATGAGTGATTCACACTCACACGTCACAAACACATCACATATCAAACTCACAGCCAGAGCCGGATCCAGAGAATAAGTCCTCATCGTCGTAAAATTCATCTCCAGAACTCTCATCATCGCTTGGTCGAGATATGCGACTCTGTGCCTTAAAACAAAGAGAAAAAGAATTCACAAACATTTATGACGTCAACCTGTGCAAATCTACCACAAGTGGAATGATTTAACAGTACATTATTTCAAAAACAATATCAGATTCACTGTCAGTGTGTTCATGTGTAAGTGTGAAGGGGTCTAGCGTGGGGAGACGTTTCATCGAGAGGCCCGTTGCTAGGGGCAACACTTGCCTTTAACCCAATTTCTTAAATAGGGATGAAAATTCAGCAGAAAAAGAGCTCTCGACTGTCCTCAGACCCAACGTGTCACATAAATGAGAAAATTGGGGCCATCAAATACACAAAAAGCCTAGGTTTGCAGTTCACATCAAACATAAAACTTTTAGAGGCTGTTTCTGGCAACAAATGTCCTTTAAAAATATTGAATGTAAGTATAGTCAGCAGCCAACCTGTTCATAGTGGCACTAACCATTGGTGTAAAAGCACTTCTACCCCCTCTTCTGTATCATTCTTTACTCTTGTGGTGGCTTTCCTTCCCCCCGCTCTCATGATTGGTTGGTCTCCATTCCGGCAACACCCCATAAATACTCAGACCCATAAACCGACCCCATGCCCTCCCGGCAATCCCGCATAAACACACACACTGGCCCCAAAATGCTGTCAGTCATCAGCATGCACTTAAGCTTAAGAACATCATACATAAAGAGACACTATTGTAACCGTGCCCAGTTCTGTATCTGATCTAATTACATATTACGCACATAATGTCTATTTATGTGCCTTCATGTTTTGCACTGTAAGCATGTGTCATTCACAAACGGGGCAGATATGTACATATATATTTTAATACATTATATTTATGTATTTGCTTTGAAATGGATTAAGAAAATTTGATAAAGTTTTACATATTTTTCAGAGCTCTTTACTATATTTAATAATTCTTATTTATATGCCCATATAACAATACACGGCAATAATTTAAATATATACATACAAGTAAATACATATTATATATAATATGTATTTATAACATAAATTACAATGATTTTATTTAATGTTTTTTAATGTAAAGTCTCTTATGCTCAGCAAGGCTACATTACTTTGATCAAAAATACAATAAAAAAGTAATACTGTAAAAATGATTACAATGTTTTCTATTTCTAATATATTTTAAAAAGTAATTTATTGCTTTGATGGCAAAGCTAAATTTTCAGCAGTCACTACTCCAGTCTTCAGTGTCACAAAATCCTTCAGAAATCATTCTAATATGCTGATTTGCTGCTCAATAAACATTTCTTATTATCAGTATTGTGCTGCTTAATTTTTTTTTGGTAGAAACTAAAGATTCTTTGATGAAAAGAAAGTTTAAAAAAAGAAACAGTTATCTTTTGTAACATTATAAATGTCTTTACAGTCACTTTCGATCAGTTTAATGTCTTTCCTGAATAAAAGTTTTACTTTCTTTAAAAAAAAAAGTTTGTACCAGTAACCTATCTCTGTCTTGATGCTCTCATATTCAAATATAGTCATGAGACAAGGAAGGACCTTTAGGGCATTTAATAACCTGATAAAAAGGACATTTAAATCACCAAAATATTCATGATGCATAATGTTATATTGCCAGCAAAATATATGAGACTATTGTGACTATATCAGCCCTTTCTAGTGCCAAACATATACTAGCAATCTGAAGCAATTCCAGTTATTATTCTAGCCATTTTATCAACTAAACCAGCTCTAAATAGTGCTATGGATTTGTGCTGATCTTTTTTTAAGCACAAAGTGCATGTGAACACCGGGGAATCAGATCCCACTGTGCATCAATCTGAACTGCTATTAACCACAGGCCATTCACCAAATGCAATCAAGTCTAATGCGATTTCCTCTCCAACCTGTACAACACTCAGAAATACATGCTGCAGATGCACCGGATCTCCTTTCCAAATCACATACTGTATGTCTCTGCAAAATCTGCTGCTCAAGATGCAAGGCTAAGCCAGTATGCATATTTGGATAGATTGTGTGTTTGTGGATGTCTGTGTTTCCTCCCCTGTAATGGTGGGGTTGGTTTGTGGTGTAATTTGGTCTACGATCTGATTAAGGGGTAGAATTGGCTCGCACAGCAAGGGTTCTTTCACAAACAGTTTGTGTGTGTATGTGTGTGTGTGTGTAGAGATAGAGAGGGGGTGTGGGTAAAAGCTTTTTAGAGTGAAATGTAAATATAACTTCCATCTGTTTGGCAGCACATAATGACCAAGAAAAAAAAAGCACAGTAGGGCTACACGATTATGAAATGCCAGTTTTCTTTGATATTGCAACCATGATTTTTGATTTTGATTAACAGAATTTGCATTACAATTACTTTTTTTTTTTAATATTTCTTTGAATAATTATAATGTAATTATAATGGAATGAAGTAATTAAAACTTTTCATAAGTAATCGTGGCAGCCGTAAACACAATTTCGATTATTTATTTGTATAATTGTGCAGCTATAACGCATTCTCTTTCTCTGCCAAATTTGATGTTCTGTACTAGCTTCTTTCCAGAGGAACAGCTGCGAGAATGACGAGAGATAGAGAGAGTGTGTGGAAGAGAGAGAAAGAGAGAGGGAGATCACTGTGTAAGTAAAGTTAAGAGGTGAGTTGGTCACTAGGTGATGACCTCACTACGAGAGTCAAACACACAAATATCTGAAAGCACATCTACATATGCCATTTAAATACAATTACAAAAAAAAAAAGATACATTACAACACCTCCACCTATAAAACATCTGACCCTCAAGTTTAAACTTTGTCTCTTGAAATGCATGTTATATACGTGTATGAAGTGGACAGCTGTTTCTGTGGGACAATCCTTAATCCAAACAGCAAGTGATCCCATAATCCCATGGGATTAGGACCATGTCGGATGCCCATATGGGTAAAACGCTGTGTGTGTCAGTATAAGAGCTCCTCCATTGCATTCAAGTATTCAGCATTTATGATGCGGTGACAAAACCTAACCCTGGTTTAATCAACGAAACTGGGCACATAACCAAATTATTATACATTTTACAAAAGTAAAATACTAAATTTAAAATCAACAGTAACCCTCTTTAATTCATTAATGTGCCATATTTGAAAGTAAAAAAGGATATTAAATGAGAAACAATTGTAGGGCAGAGCTAGATTACATAAACGTATACGAACATGAATTGTATATGAATTACACTTTTTAAATTTATGTTATTAAATATTGTTAAAAATACTATTCTATGCTGTACTATATAAATTAGGGGGGGAAAAATTCTGATTCATGCTCCATGTAAGAGTCTTTTTTACTCAAACATCAAACAGTGGCTTCGGTGTTAGAAGAGCTCTGAACTTCGTAATAAACGATTTGCTAGATTGGATGACCAGTTAAGACAGTTTTGGCTTGGGTTTTCCAAGCGTGATGTGGGGAAAGTGCCTGGAAAGCTTTCTGCTGAGAAGTTGCCATGGAAACACTTTCATGGTATATTATCCGAGTCATTACCTCTCTTCCCACACGACAGCCAGCCTAC